GTTAACTGTCAGCAGGTATGACATAAAGAAGTAAAACACCTTAAGGAATTTCTGGAAGAATATGACGTGTGAGGTTGTGAGAAAAGAAATCTGCACCACAATTAGAGCCAAAAGGGTGTGTGAAGGAGGGGGAAAGAGGGGGGGGGTTAGCATATAGCACATTCGCTAGCTTCTCTTGCTCTTTCACGTTAACCAACAGGCAAACCTGCAGCTTACAAGATAACAGTGAACAGTAACAAGATATGAACACTTGTGAAGCCGTGAAACTGAATAGATGGGCCACTTTGGCCACAGTAATTCACAAGTCTTCACACGATGACCTCAAGCTTCCTAAGTACCACGAGGTCCTACCAAGCCGAACGTTGTTGCCAAAAAGTGCACGTGCAAACCTTTATAGGAGATTCATGCCACCTGGCTCAAATAGACACCATATGCATAAGATGCTCCCCCCCCCCCCTTATGCGTACGGTTACAAACCTTGGGCTTTGTTGCCAAAAACTTTGACTGGACGTAATGAAGTCGAAGTATTCCACGGATGAGTTTACGCCAGTTTCCAAACACACGTTCTTCTCGACGCTGTAAAGGCAACAATTATTATTTCACCGCAAAGAATCAACAAGAAAAAAATCACTTTACTACAAGATTCTGAGTTATGGACAAAGCCAGACCTTGGACAGCAGTCCCGCATCTCCCGCTTACCAGGCTGTTGCGTTATCCATTACCGGGCCCATCTTACCCTCTCAGCTGAACGGCATTTAGTGGCATTGCGCTAGCCTTACAGCGCACACATGCCTTACATGATGAGCCGGTTAGTCGATATCGGCAGTGAATCGCAAGGCTGAAGGCTTTTACATGCTTCAGAGCTGAGAGGGTAAGGATGGCTCGGTGGCCTAATGAGTACACCGCCCGTTAAGCGGTAGAAGCGAGTTCGATCTCATCCGAGGCCCGACTTTTGCTCACATCCCAACACTCTTGCGATAAGGTTTTAGAGTGGGCGCTGCGGACGACAGCCGGGTGCCCACTGGAGTGCCGAACCGTGCTCCCACGCACATTTGCATGATGGTGCAGTGGAGACCAAGATAAAGCAGTATCATCACTACAACTCACGTTTACAAGGCTCCACTCAAAACCAGAAAGATTCGAAGTCCGACGGACCGCTGCCACCGTAACGCCGGCCGTTTCAAAAAGCCCTCTTTCCCAGCCTTAGAACACTTTCGGCAAGCAAAAGAGGCAAAAGAGTGGATGTGGTGAAACGTACACCACATGGGCACCCAGTATAACACGGCAAGTGGACCTCCAGCTTGAGAGAATAATCCAAGCGCAGGAATACGACAGCAGCGATCCTCGAGCTACAACATCTTTCGTGAACCCACAGACATCGCCCCAAAGCGGC